GGAGTTGTATTGCTCCTTTAGCACTGGTGTTCCCCTCTTATGGGGAGAGCATTCCTGCCACCGCTGAGGAGGAAACATTCCCGTCGGTGGAGGAGATAATCCCACGCAACCCTGATTTCAGATCTGATTTCACCAATCACCAGAGGCAGCACTTAGAGCTTTTTGGTTAGTGATGACAGTGAAGGAATTAGCGGTTCTTAAGGCTAAATTCGGCCTTCCCAATCATATCGAGTTGATCTCTGCCGAGGGGGATACGGTATAGGTCCACCGTCCTGGGTATTGCGCCCTTTAAGCCTACCCCTTCCAAGTTGGCTATTCTTTTCCCCTCCTTCCGCTGGTGGAAGATTTCTGTCGTCACTACGGCGTTTGTCTTGCTCAGCTTGCGTCGTACGTCTACAAAGCTATAAAGATGCTCACTAAGTTTGTTGAGTTGGCCGGGGTCGAACTGACACGGAGGCACTTAATTCATCTATTCCCTCCCAGTTTTTTAGGGAAACAATGTTGAACCTTCCTCGCCGAGGGGGCAAATGATTGGTGGTGAAGATGGACGACAAGGCTAGTCGTCAATTCTTGTTTAACTTCTTTTTTGTTAGAACAGAGGATGTTACGGCTTTCCTGAGGCTTGGAATTATACTCGTAAGTACTTTGGTTTCTCCCCCGTGTTCGGTCCTGAATTTTGACTTCTCGCCTTCTTCTTTTGCAGCCAATACTTCGAATCCTCTTTTGGATGCTCATATTTCTGGATGGGTCAAATGGATTCTCCCTCACATCGTAGGGATTCATGAATGGCCAAGTTTTTTCAAGAAATTCAGGCATGCTCTCCCTTCGACTCGTAATTTCCTTTTTACCACCAGCGTCTTGATTTCTTTGCTCATTTTCCTTCGTTGATTTTCCTTTTTCCTGTTTTTCTCTAGCTCCGGCCTGGGGGTCTACGAGGAAGTTGAGAGCTCCTGTGCCCTCGTTCCTGAAGAGGAAGGCTATTATGCCCTCATTTTCTGCCCCTATTTCGATCATTGTTGATCTTATCTCTGTTCCAGTTTCCTCTGTCACCGTGTCCAAATTTATTTCTGCTTCGACCGTAGTGACTTCGGCTTCTCCTCTGTATTCTCTCATCGACTAGGACAATGAACCTTTTCCTAGTGATGGAGATCTCCTACATCGAAATAAGAGGTCCGTGGATGTTAGTGACGGAGTCACCTGGGCCGTTGATCCAGTGGAAGTGGACTTTTCACTGTGTGAGACGGCCACCATTCTTGTAGGAGATGATATTGAGCCAATTCCCGAGGTTCCGAGGTCATTGGGAGACGATGTGGATGTGTCTCTTCCTTCTGCGGTGATGGAAACTGAAGGGACGACTGCTGATGTTCTTAACACTTCACGGTGAGAGGAGATATCGACTTCTCGAACAACTGTAGATACCACATTGCCGGCCAATGAGAGGGGAAAGAGCATCGCTGAGGAGGGCGACAAATCAGTTTCTGTCGTTGATGCAGACAACCTAAGGATGATGGAAGAGGGGCTTACCCAGCTTGAGGTAAGGTTGGAGGGGTGTATGAGGACTATCGCGATCCCCATGGATCGTGACCTATTGGTGAACACCGAGGAGGTAGTCCCTGCCCTCGCCCCTCTTTGTTCCGAAATAAAGGGTAAGACCCTTAAAGAGATAGACGACGATGCTTTGTCGAGGAGCATTGCTGGCCTTGCCCTCATGGTGAGTGTTCGTGGTTCAACCTCTCTTTTTTGTTTCTTAGGACGTCCTTGGTTCTGACCTCTTTTTTCTCTTTCCTTTTCATGATCGCAAATGGTGATCTTGGAGATCGAGAGCACCCAGAGGGAGAAAAAACATAAAGACATCTTTGTAAAATTGAAGGATTAGTACTTTGAGTATCGTGGCAAGTATCGAGATCTCCATAGGCGGTTTAGTGAGGGTGGCGACATGCGGGACCTTCAGGACGAGTTGAAAGAGAAGGAAGATGAGCTGGTGCGGGCCATCGAGAAATGTAACGTCCTTCAGGGGATGTTCAGGAATAGGGAAGAGGAGCTAGAGGTAAGCAGGGGCGTGGAGGCCCAATGTAATGACCTTCAAGCTCAACTGATCGAGTTTTGAGGGAAGTTAGAAGAGTGACGAATTCAGTTGGTGGCCCTCAATAGTGAGATTGTTGAGAAGAAAAAAGAGCTCGAGAAGGTGGAGTCTTCTCGTTTGGATCTCGGAGGAAGATGGAGATGCTCGAGTTAGAGAATAGGACTCTCCGAGCCGAGCGGGAGAATGACTAATCAATGGCGAGAGGTAAGGAAGATCGACTCAAGGAGAGGATCAGAGAATTGGAGAAAGATAACTCTGTTCTTCTTGATCGAATGGCCGCTTTGGAGGCTAAGAAGGCCCAATTACTTGCACAGTAGTCCTCCTCCCGTATTTCAGATTTTCCCAATGTACCTCATGAGTTATATGAAGAATGGATTCATGCCGATGCCTAAATAGATGTATTTTGAGATTTGCATGTGGCGGGGTTCGTCTCTGAGGCTGCCCTTGAAGATGTTCATGTTAAGTCTCGTGAATCTTGAGTCGCTTGTGGATATGATCCCGCTACGCCTGAGGCCAATAAAGAGGTTGGGGACGAGGGTGTAGACCGGCTTAAGGAGAACGCTTGGTATGATACCGCTTATCCTCAGGGCAAAGGTGTCGACGGCGAGGGGGATCGAGATGGTAAGGGTATCAGTGGTCAGGGTGGTGACGGCGTTGAAGACCGAGCTAATGAGGGCACTGAGGGCCGTGATGGCGGCAACCAGTAATTTTTTTGACTTTTTGTGTATTTTTGTTGGCATCTTCATGAGCCTCTGTAGACAGTTTAAGTATGAAATATCAAAGTTGTTCCTTGCAACTTCTTCCGTTCCTGTGGTTTATTTTCTGTACGTGTATGTTTTTTGCTTCGGTTGTTTGCTTGTTTCGCTTTTTGTCCTTCTTATTGTTGTTGTATTTTAGCTGTTCATAGCCTTGGAGCCGAATATTGATAGATCGTGTGCGTTTCTTCGTTGAGATGTGGGCCAGGGCCGATGGGTGTTTATTCGAGCGAGGTCGAACATAACCTTTCGTTAAATCACGGTCGAGGGCCGGTAGGTGTTTGTTCGAGCGAGGTCGAACATAACCTTTTGTTAAATCGAGGCCGAGGGTTGGTAGGTGTTTGTTCGAGCTTAGTCGAACATAACCTTTCATTGAATCACGGCCAAGGGCCGATAGGTGTTTCTTCGAGTGGGGTCGAACATAACCGTTTTGTTAAATCGCGGACGAGGGCCGGTAGGTATTTGTTTGAGTGAGGTCGAACATAACCTTTTCATTTAATCGCGGCCGAGGGTCGGTAGGTGTTTGTTCGAGCGAGGTCAAACATAACCTTGATATAAAAAAGGTGAAAAAGGTGATAAACGTAAGTTTCTTATTACTTTGACGTTGTTGTTTTGGCTACATACTTGGAGAGAGTTACAGATTTTGGTTGTTGGCTGGCGTTCCAATCCCAGTTTACCTAGTCCCTTCATTGCTGGACTTGGAGAGTATTGAGGAATCGAGCAATGAAAATAACATGTCCCTCCCTCACGTACTTCGAATCGTTGTGTTCTCTTTTCTACCTCATTAAAAACCTCCTTGAGAAAACCCAAATGGGACAAAACTCAAGCAAGGGAAAAAGAGTATGACTTGAGGGACACTTTCTCGTAGAAGTTGAAGTATTTGAGGTGGCTGATGTTCCAATTTTTTGGTAGTTGCTTTCCTTCCATTGTTTCTAGTTGGAATGAGCCCTTGTTTGAATTGGCTGTGATTATGTACGGACCATCCCAGTTTGTTCCCAGCTTGCCTTCCCGGGGGTCTTTGCTCGCTTGAGTTTTGGCTTTCAGCACGTAGTCCCCGACTTTAACTGGCCAGACCTTTGCTTTCTTGTTGTAATAGTGTTCTGCTTGTTATGTTTGGGCAACTATTCTTATGTACGCCATATCTCTTCGTTCGTTGATGTCGTCGAGTTCCTGCCTTCTGCTCTCATCGTTACTCATACCGCTTTCATGGGAGCACCTTAGGCTGGGTTCTCCGACTTCGACTGGTATTACAACCTCGGTCCCATAGACCAAAGAGTAGGGCGTCTCTCCTGTTCTCATCTTTGGAGTTGTTCGGTAGACCCATAATACTTTTGGTAGTATTTCCAACCACAGTCCCTTGGCGTCCTCGAGTTTTTTCTTTATGATGTTTAGTATGGACTTGTTGGAGGACTCTGCTTGCCCGCTACCCGCTGGGTGATATGGGGTTGAGAGTATCCTCTTGATATGCCATTTCTCAAAGAATTCGGTGGTTTTCTTTCCCGTGAACTGGGGTCCGTTGTCATAACTGGTCTCATTGGTTAGGCCGAACTGGCAAATGATGTTTCTCTATATAAAAGTGATTGCCTCTTGTTCCCGTATTTGGGAGAATGCTCATGCTTCCACCCATTTAGAGAAATAGTCAGTTAAAATCAAAAGGAATCATACATTAGCTCGCCCTGTTGGGAGGGGTCCCACGTTGTCCATTCCCTATTTGATGAACGGCCACGGGGAGGTGATTGAATGGAGGTGTTCGCCTGCTTGGTGAATCATTGGGTCGCATTTTTGGCACTGTTCGCATTTTCTCACGAAGTCTACAACGTCTTTTTTCATGGTCGGCCAATAGTATCCCACCCATATGAGGCATCTGACTATTTCTTGATTGCTGGAGTAAGCACCGCAATGGCCTTCATGGAATTCCTCGAGGACATGCTAGGTCTTGTTTGGGCTCAGGCATTTCGCCAGGGGGCCACCGTAAGTTCTTTTCTATAGGTCGCTATGAAGGAGATTGTATTTGGACGCTTGCATTCTTAGTTTCTTGGCTTCTTTCTTGTCGCTAGGAAGTGCACCGTCCTGCAAATAGGCGATAATACGATTGCGCCAATCCCAAGTCAAGTTTATGATTCTTACCTCGATTCGGTCTAGTGATGAGTTGAGGAGGTGGACTAAGCTTTTGTCCCCGTCGTGATGCTTTTGGTAGCTAAGGCCAATTTGGCGAGGCCATCTGCTTCAGCATTCTGTGCCCGTGGGATCTGGTCGAGCTGGCATTCGTTGAACTCAGGTAGTAGCTTGCAGATCTCAGTATGGTATTTTTCAACCTTTGTTCCTTGATTTGGTAAGTCCCTATGACTTGGTTGACTACGATCTAGGAATCAGATAGAAGTTTCAACCGCTTCGCTTCGTATTTTAGTGCTAGCCTCAATCCTGCAATTAAGGCCTCGTACTCGGCCTCACTGATAGTCATATCTGGGCACCTTATGGATTAGCGGATTACTTCGCCTGTAGGGACCTCGAGTACGAGTCCCAGTCCGGACCATGACTTGTTGGACACGCTATCGATGTATAGAACCCAGAGGTCTTGTGCTTGGAGGGAAGCTTGGACGGCCTCCCTTTCAACTTCAGGCATTATTTTTGCACTAAAGTCAGCGACGAAGTAGGGAAGCACCTGCGACTTTATCGCCATTCGTGGCTGTTATGTGATATCGTGCTCGCTTAGCTCGATGGCCCACTTGGCCAGCCTCCTCGATAGCTCAGGTTTATGCAAAATGCTCCTTAAGGGAAAGGTTTTGATGGCCGAGATTGGGTGGCACTGAAAATAGGGTCTAAGCTTTCGCAAAGCTACGACTAATGCCAGAGCCACTTTTTCAAGGTGCGGGTACCTCGTCTCAGCGTCGACAAGTGTTTTGCTAATGTAATAGATGGGAGATTGCGTACCTTTGCTTTCACGAATCAGGACTGCACTTACCGCTACTTCAGAGACAGCTAGATATACGAGGAGCTGCTCCCCAGGTTCGGGTTTTGAAAGTAGGGTTGGTAATGATAGGGATGCCTTCAGTTCTCGCAGAGCCTGGATGCACTTGGGAGTCCATTCGAGGCCGTAATCCTTTTTGAACCCGCTAAATAATTTGTGACATCTATCAGACGAATGCGAGATGAATCTTGATAGGGCGGCGATTCGAGCAGTCAACCTTTGGACTTTCTTCTTGGTAGTCAAGAGCTAGAGTATCCTTTTGATAGCTTTGATTTGGTCTGGGTTGACCTCGATCCCCCGTTGCGACACCAAAAACCCCCAAGAACTTTCCCAAGGCTACGTCAAACGCGCATTTCTCCGGGTTTAGTTTCATCTTGTAACGTCTTAGTATGTCGAAAGCTTCCTTCAAATGATCGATATGGTCCCCTGCCTTTACGGACTTGACCAACGTGTCATCTATATATACTTCTATGATCTTGCCAAGCTGCTCCTTGAACATCTTTGTCACCAATCATTGATAGGTAGCCCCCGCATTCTTCAACCCAAACGGCATGACCCTATAACAATACGTTCCTTGGTGGGTGATGAAAGTAGTCTTCTTCTAGTCTTTTTCCTCCATAAAAATTTGTTATAGCCTGATTAAGTGTCCAGAAAACTCAATAGCTCGTGCTCAGCTATTGCGTCGATGAGTTGGTCGATGTGAGGTAATGGGAAAGAATCCTTCAGACGTGCTTGTTCAAGTCTGTGATGTCCACGCACATCCACCTTTTCCTATTTTTCTTTTTTACCATCACTACGTCGGCGATCCATTTAGGGTACTTCGACTCCCTGATGGAGCCGTTCTCCAACAATTTTTCCACTTCCTCGCGGACTGCATCGTTGATGGCAAGGTTGAATATATGTCTGACCTGTCTAACTGGGGTGGAATGGGTCGATGTTTAATTTGTGTGTGGCGATTTCCTTTGGGATGCCCGACATATCTGCATGGATGAAGGTAAACAAATCTGCATTAGTTATTAAGAATTGACTGAATTTACCTGGTTCCCGGAGTTTGCAGCTGATAAGGCCTTTTTGCTATGGTCGTTGAGGTCCAATTGAACGGGGTTGAGGTCTTCTATAGTTGAATCCGCAGCCTCGACCATTTCGGGATATATGATCACGTCTCCGGTTTCTACTTGCATTGACCTCGACTCTGTTTATTGATATGCCTCTTTTCCTTGTCTTTTTTCTATTGTGTTGCCATGCTGTCTAAGGCAATACGGTAGCATTCCTGAGACATGTGATGTTCTCCGCGTATGCTGAATATTCCCCATGGTGTTGGAAATTTAATTATTTTGTATAGGCTGGAAGGGATGGCTCTCATGGGGTGTATCCATGGTCGTCCCACTACGGCGTTGTATGTGGTGGCCTGATCCATGATGTGAAATGTCGTCTCCAGCGTTACACCGCCGACCAAGACGGGGAGTGTACTTTCCCCTGATGTCCGCTCAACCATATTATTAAAAGTGGTTAGCGTGATGCAGCGCGACACTATCTTATCCTCGAGTCTCATTTGGGTAAAGACTCGGGGATGGATAATGCATGCACCGCTTCCATCATCCACCATGATACATTTGACATTGGTATCTAAAATGCATAAAGTAATAACTAGGGGATCATTATGAGGAAAAGTCAAACTGTCGGCATCCGACTCATCGAAAATGATACTTTCTTTGAGTCCGTCGTACCGTTCGCGGGTGATAGACCGCTTGAGCTTGTGAGTGGTAGTTAACTTCACACCGTTGATAGAGGTGTCGTTGCTACCGCTGATGATCATGTTGATAGTATGTGCTGGTGATGGCGGCTTCGGCAGGCCTTGATGTTCGCGTCCTCTGGCGAAGTTTTTCTACCCTTGTCGCTTAGCAGCTCTTTTAGGTATCCCTGCCGCAACATGTTTACGACTTCTTGTCTGAGGGCAATGCAATCTTCTGTTTTGTGCCCATGTTCCTGGTGGAACTCACAGAGGGCGTCAGATTTTCTGGTGTTCGGGTCCGATCTCATCTTCGGTGGCCACTTCACCTTTGTTCCAAGTTTCTCAAGAGCGTAGACTATTTCTGTAGGTGACAAAATATAGAGCAGATAATAAAGGGGGAATAACTCTTTCATTCCGGTGAGTCCATGTTCTTGGCCTAGATGAGCCTTCTTTATAGCGGGGGAAAGGTGCGGCGAACGCCCTGACATATGGCTGGTACCGTTATCTGTTGTGTCATGAAACTGGGTGATCCCTCTTGATGTTGTCTCTTCATTCTTTTTTGGATTCGGTTTGTACCGAGGTTAGTCGATTGTTTGGTCCGTTGAAGTCGTCTTCATCTGCTCGGACCTCGGCTCAATAGGCATTATGGATTTCGTCCCAAGTGGTTGGAGGATATTTCATCAATTGGTTCAACAGTTTTCTAGTCACTCTCGAACCATCTCTACTCAACCCGTTCTGGAAGGCCGCGACTGCCATCCCTTTTGATACGTTCGATAGAGTCATCCTTACTCTGTTGAATCGAGCGAAGAAGTCCCTTAGTCCCTCTCCCAACGACTGCTTGATAGCAAATATGTCGTTTACTCTTGTTTCGGCCTTTTTAGAGCGGGCCGGTAGCTTTGGTTAATGCCCCCCACCCCGTAAGGCTTTCGCCAAACTTCTTCAGCAAAATAGAGGACACTTGTTCCTTGGAGAGGTAGTTTCCTTTCACGGCAGTGACATAATGGGTCACATATTCTTCAGGATCGGTCGTCCCGTCATATATCCTGAGGTAGGGCGGCATTTTGAAGGTCTTTGGTATGGCACACGGGGCTGCGTTATCATTGTATGACTGCTATATGAACCTGTCGGCGTCCCTTTTTGGCAACAGCTTAGGAGCGCCCGGTATCTTGTCGACTCATTCTTGGTGTTCTCTCATCTAATCTTGGAATGCTTTGTTTTCATTCTCCATTTCTTCCATCCTCTTTCGAACGACATCGAGGGCATTGTCACCTGCACTGTTAGTAATATTGTGAGTTATACCTGTCATCGGAGGGCTTGGTTGGTTGCACTGCTCGTCCGTTTGTTGTATTGTGCAAGCACTTGCAGTTTCTGTAGTCATTCCTGGAGCGGGTCTGTTGAGGACACTCTCCAGCGTGTCGGTCAGCCATTCTTCGAGGAGTTTTTTCACAGCTGGGGTGTCCCTTCTTCTACAGACGTGGAGGCTCCTTTTCCACTGGGTTTTGTTATGCTGCAATGGGGGGAGGCGACCTCTCGCGCCTAGGGGAAGCGTTGGGTGTCACGTCCTCGCCTATTCTTTTAGCAGGTTTCTTTGATAGCATTCATGAGGTTGCTGGGGAGATCATTTGTTATTCTCGTCGTCTCTCCTTGGTTACCTGCCATGTTGGTTTCTGTACGTACAAAGAGAGAAGAAGATCTTTGGGGTTTGCGCAGTTAGTGACTTGCATTAGTTACGGATCTGAAGGAAACTATAAAATTCGCAAAGAAATCCCCACAGATGGCGCCAAATTATTTTACCAAAAATGTAGATATTGGTTTAACTAATTAAATTTATATAAATGGAGGTTAATCTTTGTTAGCAATAATATCCTAAAAAAAACTCCCGGTAGTGTAATGAATGATGCGCAGATCTGCTCCAACAGATATGACCCCGTGCAATAGTCAGTAGTCAAGAATAAATATAGAAGTAATGCAGCATTGAATATTGACGAACAATAATAAATGAAATTTATGTAAATAAATGCAAAGGACTCACCTGAGACAAGATGGAAGTAATGAATATTCTCCCTGACAATTGAGAATGATGAATAAATCTTTGAGTGCTTGAGATATTCTCGGATCCAGTGGAAAAGTGTAGGCAAGGATCTTAGGAAAAAGGTTATTTTTGTGTGCTTATGATTGAAACCCGATTTTCTCTTTCCCAAGTCATAAGTGTCTTTTACAAAATGAATATCACATGTCCCCTATCATTGTGTCTCTTTCTTTTTATAGGGAACATGTTTCTAGAAACCCTAATGGTACAAGTGCAGAGAATATCCACTAGAATATTCTCTTTCAGGTCCTATCTTAAAGATAGCCGTTATAACTCTGTCAAGGGCACGCGACCTCGGCATTGATTATTGACGATTCCTCGACTTAGATCTTTGCCGACTCCTCGACCACGACCTTCATTGGAGATTCAATCACTTCGACCCATGGCGACCTGGAGATTCTTTACCGATATCATTTTGACTTATAATCTAGAGGTTAATTTTGACATATACACAGTGCAATTCAAATGATAGTTACCTCACAACTTCATCTTCGTAATTTATATTGTGGCATTATGAGCAATGATATTTGTGGAAGGTAATTGATACCCTAAAAGCATAACGATAGCGAGATTAGAAGGTAAAACTATCCTATTTATAAGACGGTCAGACTTAATAGACCTCCCCATCACGAGATCAAGGTCTATATATAATGCCTTCAATTAGGGGCGGATGTAAAGTTTGGTCGTCGGGTTCAACTGAACTCAGTACCTTTGACGCAAAGCATAAGTTTATGTATAAAAGTTAATTAAAATTGCAACAAATGGTAGGTCTGAACCCATAACTTTAAAAATACAATGAGTTCAATTCTAAAAACCTTAAAAGTTGAACGCATAGAATCTAAATTCAGGATCCTTCGCTGCAATCTACATCGATACATAAAGTGATGAAGACCAAACACAAAATTCAATAATTAAAAAAAATCAATAATTATTTACCCTATTATAAAAATTAATCAAATTATGTTAAGTTCACATATTTAAATACTCCCTCCGTTTCATATTAGATGAGGTACTTTCTTTTTTAGTCTGTTCCAAAATAAATGACACATTTCTAAATTTGAAAATAATTCAACCTTAAACTCTTCATTTTATGTATTGTACCTTTAATGAGTAGCTTTTATAATCACACAAATATCATGGCCCCACACAACTTTTACCCCTTAAGCTTTTAAGACCACAAATTTTAAAAGTTTTCTTCTTTTTCTTAAACTTCGTGCCGAGTCAAACCAGCTCAGCTAAATTGAAACGAAGGGAGTATATAATAAGTGAAGGTTTTGGTACCACGAAGGGCAATTCTGTAAATATCATCTACTTTATGAGTAAATTGGTATGCTCTCTTTGTTCCTTCCCATAAAGACGCGTGTACAATGCAAGTTTCAAGTTACCAGAACCTAAACGTTTTCTTCTTCCTCATTCCAGTTCAGTTCAACACTGATCTCTTTCTCCCACTCCTCTCTTTCCTTCTCGATCTCCTGTATTTTTCCTTCCCTTATGGGTATCGTTTCACAAATTCTTTATTTGTGATTTCTAAATTTCTAGCTTTTATTTCATTCGCTACTTCTGGTAAGATTTTCCCCGTCTTTTGCCTTTCTTGCCTTGATTTTTGCCCATCACTTTTGGATTCTTAAGAAAGTTTATCCAGTTTATTTGCTTCAATTTTTTTTGTTTTTTCTACTCTTCCGCATAATTTTTACTAGAATTTTTACATGCATGTCAATAACTTTATATGATCTGTACATGCATGTATGAAAATATATATCCAGTGTATGTAATTGTATAATTCCGGTGGTTGATGTCTTTCCCAGATTTGGCACTAATTAGTTACTCCAAATCCAAGTGTCTTTGCACAAATTTGTAGTATTCATCTTGTTGTTGGAAGATGGGTCTTTGCTACTTTAAAACTATTTGTAAGTATACTTTCATGGTATTGTATATCTGTAAATGTTATATTTCGTAGTTAGTGCTAATTTCCATTTTAATGGTTGATTCTTCCAGTAATTTTTCATTCTTTACTCAATATGGAGAAATAATAACTATGGAGGCTGACAATGTATAGCACAGTAGCATTATTTACAATTAATGATGGTATGCTATAATTATGTATTTTAGTCGCTTATTATGCTCTAATTTGCTACACACTTTAATTGAGTTTAAACTTTAATCGCTAGTGTTTTGCACTAATTACGTATTTTATGCCTTGTAGGAGTGATTCTGGGATGTGTAGATGTTATGGAACGAATTCGAGCTATTTGGAGCTTTGAAGTTTGAGTAAAAGCCCAAGGGATTAAGCAAAGATCGTGTTCGGGGGTCGAGGATCAATT